TTCCCTTTGGACACCTCCTCATTCCTTGGGGACACCTCCTGTTTCCTTGGGACACCTTCTCATTCCCCGGGGACACCTCCTCATTCCCCGGGGACACCTCCTGGTTCCTTGGGAACATCTCCTGGTTCCTTGGGGACACCTCCTCATTCCCTTTGGACACCTCCTCATTCCTTGGGGACACCTCCTCATTCCCTGGGGACACCTCCTCATTCCCTGGGGACACCTCCTGGTTCCCTGGGGACACCTCCTCATTCCCTGGGGACACCTCCTGTTTCCTTGGGACACCTCCTCATTCCCCGGGGACACCTCCTCATTCCCTTTGGACACCTCCTGGTTCCCTGAGGACACCTCCTGGTTCCTTGGGGACACCTCCTGGTTCCCTGGGGACACCTCCTCATTCCCTTTGGACACCTCCTCATTCCCTGGGGACACCTCCTCATTCCCTGGGGACACCTCCTGTTTCCTTGGGAACATCTCCTGGTTCTTTGGGGACACCTCCTGGTTCCTTGGGGACACCCCCCAGTTCCCGCCTCGCCCGGTTTTCCCCTCTCCAAAGGGCAGAGGGAGACGGAGAAGCGCGGGAGAGGAGTCGAGTCCCTCTCCCAGCCCCGTTTTTGGGGGTTTTTAGGGATTTCGGGGGTGAGAGGAGCCAGGCTTTGGGGTTGAACAGTGGGATGGATTGGGACGGGAAAGGAGTAGGAATGTGACGTGGGATTGGGATGGGAATACTGGGAGAAGGTCCTGGGCAAACTGGGATAAGCTTTGAATGCCCAGAAAGTGCCAGGAAAGCCTGGGAGCAGGAGGTGAGGGAAAGGATGATTGGGATGGGAGTGGATTGGAATGTGGCGCAGGATTGGGATGAGAATACTGGGAGAAGGTCCTGGGCAAAGTGGGATAACGTTTGAACACCCAGAAAGCCCCAGGAAAGCCTGGAAGCACAAGGTGAGGGAAAGGAAGGATTGGGATGGGAGTGGATTGGAACATTGCATGGGATTGGGATGGGAATACTGGGAGAAGGTCCTGGGCAAACTGGGACAAGCCCAAAAGGAACTTTGGATGCCCAGAGAGCCCCAGGAAAAGCCTGGGAAGCATCCAGTGGTGTGGGATGGACTGGGACGGGAATGGATCGGGGCGTTGCATGGGACTGGGATGAGAACACCGGGAAAAGTTCTGGGATAAACTGGGATAAGCCCCCCGCCCACCTCTAGGTGGCTCGGGGGGGGTCCCTGGCACAGGGGGGGTCTCCCACCCCTCCACCTACCCACGGGATCATAGAGGGTGGCATCGAGCCTCATGAACTCCAGCAGGTGCTCCAGGATCTTCTCCGGCGTCCCGGCCATCACCGAGTACCTGGGGGGGCCCGGCCACCTCAGGGGGGGAATTGGCCACCAGGGCCAGGCCCGGGGGTCCCCTTGGCCTGTGCCCCCCCCCCCGGGACCTCCCAAAAACCCCGGTGGCACCTGCTGCTCCGGGCCTGCAGGTCCTTCTGCAGCACCAGCACCACCTTCCCGTGCTCCTTCAGCCGCACCGTGTTGGCCTCCACGTCCTGGGGGCACCGGGGTCAGAACCGGGGTGTCAGGATACCCACGGGATATTTGGGATTGGGGGGGCACTGGGGAGAGCCCCGGGACAGCCCCAGGATGTCGGGATACCCACGGGATATTTGGGATTGGGGGGGCACCAGGGTGAACCCCGGCACAGCCCCGGGATGTCGGGATACCCGCGGGAGATTTGGGATTGGGGGGACATTGGGGTCAGCCCCGGGATGTTGGGATACCCACGGGATATTCGGGATTGGGGGGGCATTGGGGTCAGCCCCAGGATGTTGGGATACCCACGGGATATTCGGGATTGGGGGGCACCGGGGTCAGCCCCGGGATGTTGGGATACCCACGGGATATTTGGGATTGGGGGGGC